GTTGTCGATAAACTTAAAATTATCTCATTAATTTCTGTAAAATTCGTGACAATTTGACAAATTAAAAATAAAGTTATTTTACAAATCAGTAATCAGAGAAACGAAATCGAATCTGACACCATTATCGGAGATGTCACCTCTGCGGGACTTGATCTGCTCAATAAGGTTGTTTGTGTCAGATACAATCTGTATTAGTCATTTTAATCAGTACAGGGATATAGTCTAATCACTCTCTTTGGCACGAAATCGAATCTACTTTTGCAAAACCAGACACATAGCTAAGTGAATCCACGAAAAATAGAATTCTTTTCATGTTAAGTGCATCTACAAGAGTAGATATAACCGTTTTTCTTCTGTACATGGCTTCCTTCTTGTTATATATCCTCATGTTTACCCCCATTACTTCATTTCATCTGATGACGACACGTGTAAATTGTGTTGAAACGTTATGTGCTTTGTTATTAAAGAAGATTAGTGAGTTATACCATAATATACCCCTTGTGTTTTTTGTTATACGCATGAGTCCACTTACGAAAAAATAGCTAATATAGACTATTCTACCATATAGCTGTGTCATTGAGAAGATTCTGTCCATCGTTTTTTTATGAACTTTCAGACGCTTTGAGCATCAAATTACCAAAGCAGACAGCTCAAATATTGGTTTAATTTAAAACTGAAATCGACGATTTAGTAATTTTTAAGGTCTACAGCATTTACAGATTGACTAGAAAGTTATTGTGGCCTAGAACTAATCGCTTTATATACACTTCTTTACTAGTGTCATTATACTTGGTGACGTGGATTCAGACTGACTGAAAGAAGATTGCTATTGAGAAACAACTGTTATAGGAAACTTAATGTCAACATATATTAGACAGGAAAGCTGAGCATCAAGGATGAGAAGAAGCGTGAGTGTCGACAAAGTCAACAAAATTAAGGAAAAGATCGAACAGATTGTAATGAAATCGTTCAAATAAAAATCTTCATTTTGCATGATTCTGTTTACATGATGAGATGCTCGACATTAGGGAAAGTGATTTAATAAAAGAGATGCCGCAGGTCTTTCACATCTCAATTCCGAATGGTTCTGTATCAAGAAGTATTCTTATTGTTCAAATATATAGAAATGAAATGAAAATTTACGTCCTTATGTTTTGCTCCTGATTGAGGTGATATAGGCAACAGAATGTTTCAAATTTTGCATGTTTTATTATTAACTATGAGGAATCTATAACGTTGAAGACGCGACCATGTCAACCTGGATAGAAAATACTTTCATGTTTCAACCCGACATCCTTCTATACAGGTAGGAGAAGCCGACAAGGTATTGGGAAAGTAAACCGAAGCTTCGTTTAGTACGTGAATCCCTTGACAGCTGGAAATCGAAAACGAGTAAGCTTCATTAGCCCAAACCGGTCCAGAAAAGTAGGACATAAGCTCAATTTCGTTTCATTAAAGGGGCAGATTCGTCATTTTCGCGAATTGATATGGGTCTCCAATATTTGTTAATATATTTCAGGATTACTAGATTCTTACTATTTTTATGCGCCCACGTGGAAATGTGGACGTATATTGCCGTCGCCCCTGTCCGTCCGTCCACATTTCTTGTATGCACGATATAGGCCACAGCTTTAATCTGATCTTGATGAAACTTGGTATGCATGTATATATTGATGAGATCTCGTTAAGTTCGAAATTGGTAATAATCGGAAGAACGGTTTCAGAGTTATTACCCTTGATTTAGTAAAAACGCTTCACATATGGCTTGTAGTTATGATACTGGGTGCAGTTTTTATCTGATCTCTATGAAACTTCGTATGCATGTATGAATTGATGAGATCTCAAGTTAAAAAATAGGAATAATTTATTGGATGAATGGTTTTTGAGTTACTGCCCTTGAATTAATTCAATGCGTCTAATTTGGCCTGATAGAGACTACATTTTTTATCCGATTTTGACGAAACTTGGTATGAGAAATGAGTAACAATCGGATGATTGGTTTCATATATTAAACCACTACAGACTTTGTTATAATTTCTCACAGCTGGTAGTGGGCGTATGTTACCTTGGCTGGCAAGCTATGTTTATATATTATGTCCTTTCTATATAAGACAGAGTTTCAAGAAAAGACGGATGGTCATTTTAACTTTCAAATGTTGTTCTGGATACACATGGATTTAAAGACTTAAAATATCAACGGTGAGCTATGAACTTACTGATAAGCTTAGCTTTGGATTGGTCCAAAGAATGGCAAATCTGTCCCTTTAATATTCTACTCTTGTTTGCCGAACCTTTTGTAGCACAAGGCGTTACTAAGTATACGTTAAATGATTCCAAAATAGTGAATGTAAATAACCCTTGGAGATGTTGATGATAACTTGTGGTTTTGTTTATTGGCAGAAATAAATGATTTTATATATCAATCAATCATAGAAATTTGTTGATAATTAGATTTGTTAGAAACTACATAGAAAAACCATGATAGGCTTTGAAACTGTGGTTTTAAATAATTGAATTAGGATCGACTGTCAGTTATATATCTGTTGATCACAAAGGACATAGACATGATTTATTATAGACGAAGAGTTGAATGATTTCTTCAATTACCAGCCAATATTCAACAGTATTCTATAAAATATCAACATGTCAATTATTGTCAGAAACATACTTTTTGGTTCTACTGGGATTGCAAAAACCACATCTGACATCTGATTGAAAATTGAAATGTTGAAATGATGCTATCAGTATATCCGATGCACATAAAACCTTTACAAAACCTCTTTACTATTCTTTTTAAAGCTAAATAGTTTGTTACGTCATTATCTTGTCAAAGTTTTCTAAATTTTCAGGAACCGCAGGCGTCTGAATGGGCTGCATGTTTTAAAGATAGTGGACCACAGCCATATACGCCCTCCACGGCATGCGGATGGTAAATATTCAAGATTTTGGGGGCAAGGGCAATAACTCTGCTTCTAACTCTATTTGAAAATAGCTCAAATTCGAACTTGATCTTCGTTTTATGAATATGCATACACATACCGAATTTCATTTGATTCCATCATAAAATCTAGTTTTTAGAGCGTTTATAAGCAAATGTTGACGGACGGACGGACAGGGGTGCCGACAAAATACGTCCACATAGAGAGATTTGCTCGTATAAAAATGATTTATCCAAGTTACCCACAGAAGTTGAGATGTCTGCCAAGGCCAAAATTGAATTATTATTCTAAAACTAGGAGTAAAACAAAGTTGCGTGAGAGTCCAGACTATGGTAGCAGACAATTGGATTGGTTTCAGAATTGACCAATGTTAAATATGTTCAATTGAATGACAATGACTAATTTGATGCCACTTACATGGGGTAGTTTGTGGTTGTTAAAGGGTCATTACATCGAAATTGATCACCATGGGAATCTAGCTTCTCTCTTTAACATTCATCAAGACAATTTTCTGAGTGAGAAATGAAGATGAAAATAGTCAACTAGCATGTCTAGAGAATAACGGATCATTAAGGAGCATTATTCATCAAACCAGTACACTGATGTCATTGATATCCAAACCCTTCAAGTTTTTGATAGATTTTAATGACAAGGATCAAAAATACTACTTTAAGGGGAAGATTTGCCATCCATTTGACCAATCGTACCTTAGTCTCAGAAACAGATTTCTTTTCTAATCAATGAGTGTATATTGGGACGAGTCTCAATGAAAGCACTGGCGTAAGTCACAGAGCAATAGATATGCTTATTAAGTATGTGAAAATTAGTTAATCATTAGTATGATTTTAGTTGAAGATACATACAAAAACATACACGTACTCTGGCATATAATTTACTGTATATAGCAATGGCACCAGTCCTGAGATAAGTATTCCCTGAAATCTAACTTAGAAATCGATTAATCTATTGATATAGCATGTTACATTTATATGGAGAAACAGTAATAGTGTTCACAGCCCACCGTCGAAATTTGAGCCTTCAATGTGTGTCAGGAATATCAGCGTTTGAAAGTTAAGAAATACGAGTGTCTTCCCTTGAGAGTCTGCAATATATGGAAAAGACATAAAGAATAGAAAGCGGAATTCTTAGTTTTTTTTAAGGAATTATGGTATTTCGTATATTTCTGAAGATAATTTACATATAAATTCAAGAGGCGAAAATGGCGAATCTGTTCCATCAGTATGTAGAACTAATTATGTCACTTTCTTGTGACATAAGCCAGTGCTTCATTACGCCAAATATATTCAGGAAAAACGCGTCTGCCTCTTCTCATTGCAAGAGAAAATGCTTTCGAATTACATGGGGACAGTCAGTGGTCTAAGGGATACAATTCTTATTTCTTTGTAGTCTGTTGACTTTCAGCAGCCATTCTTCCATAGACCACAATTAATATAAATTACTTCCCTTTCTATCACATTTTTCAACCAGTTTAGGCAACGGGAGGGAGACAAGGGTAAGAGGAACAACCAAGTGTTACAGATCCTGACATGGAGAGTGTCTTGTCATTCCGATGGAACACTAACCATGAGACCCATGTGCCACAGGTTGTGCACTTTCAAATGAAATGAATTTTATGTCCTTTTCTGCATTCAAGAACGCTTCAAGTTGGAAATCAAAGAGCAGGAAAAAAGCAGTCCTGGCAAAATTTCCCTTATTGGGAGTCATTGCTCCCTGCATGGCATTGCCAGTCTTCACTAGTCCACATAGTGCAGTATAACGTAAAAACACCATATATTTAATCCCACAGACTTGAACAGAAATCAAACCCAAATTCGATTACTTTCAATTTCCATGCAAATTTATTTTTGTCCGACTGAATGGATAGAATTTTGCCTATGTCTTTTTTGAAAATTATGGCTCATCCGAATTTATTCAACCCTGTCAGCAGAAAGATGAAAATTCATTTCCGAGACTTGCTAGACATACACATGCCTTCGTTTACATGAACATGAGCTTGTAAGTTAATTGAAGTATTCTTGGTGGTTTAAGGGCAAAAACACATTTTAAATTACATTTTTTTTATTGAATGACTTACATTCATTTATTTTACGCTCTTGCAGTAAGAGACACTTGCCAGACTCTAATTACATTATCAGAATATCCAGCGAATAAAGTTTGTCCTTCTGGAGACCAGGCCAATGACAAACACTGGGGAATTCCTCCTTGTCCAGATATCAGTTCTGGTTTCAATTCATCAACAATGATTTTTCCCTCCAAATCCTACAAGAGAGAAATGATGGTTTTATTATACTACTGAAATAAGATGCATTGCACTGTAGTTCAAATTCAATCAAGATTCTTTTTGTTAGCAACTCCAATGATTCTTCAGTTCAGTTAAAATGGGATCTAACTGCAAAAACACCACACAAATGACATGGCAACTGTTGTCAAAAGGAATATCTCAAAATGATGGACATGCAATGAATAAAGCAATTAATTTGTACAGGACATAGCTCATCACTGAATGATCAAATATGATAACTGACAATGATTGAATTGGTCTTAATCAAAGATAACAAAATAATATGAATATGTCTGTACAAAGTCAAATGTTGAAATTGAAATTACATACCCAAATTTTGATGCTGGGGCCAGTAGCAGCACAGAGCCAGTATCGGTTTGGACTAAATGTCATAGTATTGATACAATCACCACCATCCAATGTATACAGATGTTTACCTTCATTCAAATCCCATAACATAGCTTGAGAATCCTATATAAATATACAGAATATTGAATTGACATGAAGTTCATATTGTTTTAGAAATAGAACTATTACATATATAAGAAGCAAAATACATACTTTTAAATGAAAGTTCATTCACACTTTTTTACTGACTAAAAGGGTTAAAAATAAACGCTTGGACATAAAATATATATAAATATATATATGTTAGCCACTGCTAAGCAAACTTTAAATATTCTTTACAAAATCAGGCTACACATGTATCTTTCCTATGGAATATACATATATTCATACACTTAAGTTTCATGTTCACAGATGATACAAGACTACCCATATATAAATATACATACCCTTCCACCAGAGGCACATAATGAACCATCAGGTGATACAGTTACTACATTCAAATATTGTTTATGTCCTTTATGGTTAGTTTTAAGCTTACAGTTGGTCAAATTCCACACCTGAAATTATAAAAGGAGAACTCTGACTGTGGGACATCATGAATCAGGTGTGTTATAAAAAAAATACTTTCCAAAGTAGATTTTGATTTGTATTCTAACACTATAACAATTCCAGCTCAGATGATTTCGAGTCTGATGCTCCACATTGTAAATCAATTCGGGAAAATATTTTTAAAATTTTTTTGCTTTAAATAAATGTGATTTCAATTGTTTTGATTAATTTGGTCAAGCCTTTATTGTTTTCTACATAAACTTTCAGCAAACAAATGTCAAGTGAACACGAACATGACATATTGTTCTTTAATATCACTATTTCGACAAAAATTGATTTCAAATGCTCTCCCAGGAAACTAGCCATCAACTTCATCCTTCAACAGCCTGTAGATAGGGTCAGGGATCAGAATTTCTTAGTGTATAGCTAAATAAGGATCAGGCTTTCAAAAAGTGAAGAATATAAGGAGTGAGAGGATTTCAACATTAGTGAAACAACACAAAAGAAAACAATTCTGAAGTATTAAAGGACATTCCGTTTTTTTTTTTGTAGGTCAAAAACTTTTTTGGCTCAAATTTAGGAATTTAACTATACACCAGAATGCAGAGAAATGTGTCCTTTTACGTACCGTATCAGAAAGTTTTAACTAGAAAAGATCAAGCTGTTTTATAAAGCTTAAACTTAAAGCTTTTTATGCTGCAAGCTACTGTGTGCATTTAGGTAAAATAAACGCAGTAACATGTCTATGTATTCGAAAGGTTTCAACTGATAATATTGAGCCATTATAAAGCCAAAACTGCTTAATTAACAATTATTACTCCCCGTTTTTAATTAACCCTTTTAAAACAAATTCAGTTTGTTCAAAAAGATACAGGATCAAGAAATAGGATACTTGAGTTATATTTCCAGTTTTCGCGTTTTTGAAAAAGTAATCAAAATTTTCTTTAAAAAAGCAGAATGTCCAATTAAGCGGGCATACAGCAGACAGAGCACCTGGTACTTAAAAACAATGGAAACTTACTTTGACAACTCTATCCCATCCACAAGATACAATAATGGGGTTGTTAGAATTTGGCGAGAATCTAACACATGAAACCCAGTCTTTGTGGCAATCTTCTTGTACAGTGTATTTACATACACCAAGGGTATTCCACAGTTTAATGGTCTTGTCTCTTGAGGCAGATACAATCTGTCTATTATCAGCAGAGAAGGCAACACTCAAGACATCTTTCTCATGTCCAACAAAACGTCGAGAGGATTTAGCTCTGAAAAAATACACAAGATATCAGCTTACTCAAACTATCAATATTTCTACATTTGATAATGCATCAAAGTAATTCCAAAGCTAAAAACAAAAAAATTCATTATTTATACTTCATGGTCTAATTTCTTCTAATTTTTACTATTAATTAAGCTTTGAGCTTGCATCCATACAATTTTGAATTTAACCCCTGTATCCCTCAATCGAGGAGACAAAATTGGTCCATTAATTTAAACAACTGAATGTCAAAATAATCTATGTTTACACATGAACTTACTCCATTAAATCCCACAATCTAAGTTCAGAGTCCCATGATGAAGACAGGGCAAATTGTCCATCAGAAGAAAGAACAACATCACTAACAAAATGACTGTGTCCCTCTAAACTCTTGTGGGCAATACCATAGTTGGTTTCATCCTTAGTTAGCTTCCACAAAATTAGAGTCTTATCTGGAAAAAAAAAACTCACATATTTGCCACAAGAAAGATTATAACTTTGACTTGCACATGAAATCTAGGCATGAGATTTAACTGAGGGATGTGCATAATTAGTATTTATTTGATTGGGACAACAAACCAATCCATGTCGGTGCAAATAAGAGCCTGAAAGGTTGATGCCACTACCCTTATAAATTTCACTTATTAACACTGGAATAGCCTAATCTGAGCAGAGAAGTGGGATGTAACGTAATATGGTAAGGACTGTCCTTCACTTGAGTTAGAATAATTGAAGTCCATACAACTGATATTGAAAGCTTTCTTAGTCATTAACTCAAATGATCTTGCAACTACGTTTGGTGAACACACTTCAGTCTTTCATTAATACTTTCATTACTAGCGAATACATTTAGACTTAACATAACATTTATCAAAAGACATCCATGTGAGATGGATAATACCTCTAGATGCAGACAGGAGTGTGTCTGGAAATCCAGGGTTGGTAGCAATTTGGGTGACCCAACCGGAATGACCGGTAAGGGTCCCTCTCAATGTCATCTGTTCTTGAGCCATGATTAATGATTCTATCGAGGATTAATTCGGATTTTCCTATCCCCCTTATCTTATGGCAGCCATACTATGTGGCCTCAAACCGGAAAAGGACGGTATTTTGCCGGAAGTAGAACAGATCGGAGATAAGTCTTTTGACAACCGAAGAACAGTATGGAATGTGTACTGTGGAAGGTGTACTGAAACGATTCTCAATGAAAGGACTGGCCCAGGTAATAAGGCACTGCTATTCTATATCTGAAGGTTACATATTAGTAGATAGAAGGGAGAAGAAAAAAGTATATGATAAAAATGTAGAAGTCTACTGGCATTATTCCTGGTTTTTTCCTGAAATAAATTCCCTAACATGTTTCCTAATATGATGAAACAATCTCAAAATTAAGAGATATCAAGTTCTTTGGCATGGACGAAAACAATTGCTAAGGTTTCGGTTTCTTTTGTTAGCTACAACGAGACGTTCAATAATATGAATTAGCTTAGTTTGAAGTTCAGAACAATGGCGTTTGAATTTATGGGAGTTGAATAAATATCATTACGACCGAATGGGATTGAACTCGAGTTCTTCTGTCGGTGATGCAGTTCAACGGGGTTTGACATATGGAAAAAGTCTCTAACGATTTGGATGGGACAATAAACAGAAGTCCCGTTTGGCGTGCGTAATTGCGATCCCTCGAAATTTGGAAATAGAAAAGTGTAAGCTAATGCCGCTGTCAAGTCAAAATATGTCCGCACTGCAAACTTTGTGACCGTCTTCGATCATTATCCCAATCAGGTACAGAATTGTAGGTCGTTAAACTCCATTTAATTTTATTTCATGTTTTGATAGATCATTATCACCTTTCTCGTAGGTGTCGGGAGAAATACTTCTGTTGGTGATCATCAATGGAATGATCAGGAAGGTGTTAATGTTTACTGATAGTCTTGAAACAGACATGTCCTTGCATCAATCAGTTTTGTGATTTTATTACCCAAATGCAAATTTATACATTCAAAGGAATGGCTATTGCTAATTCTTGTTTGGTGAGTTGAAACATACACTAGTTTTGCCAGTCTTTTTATGACGAATGGAAACCTTTTGAAATCTTGACCATGCATATATCTGCAAATAAAGACAAAATTAAAATCTACAACCACTATGTTCATAGAGAAAAGGGTGTTAAAAAAGAAAACCTTGTGCTGTAATCGGATCTGACCTGAGAATTAATTTCTACAAATTGTAATCGGAGGCTATGAAAATAAGGCAAAATAAATCTAACTTTGGTGGATAATATGGCAATTAATGAGGTTTTCGGCTGTTTTAAGACTTCCGGAAATTATCGAATACGCCGTGAGAGGGCGCAATAGTTTGTGTTTTTTCGCCGGTAAGGTAACTAAATAAATGGAGCTCATTCTTTTTATGTGAGCTTTTCATTAATTTCCTTAGCATATAGTTGATTCTTTTAAGTAATACAAAGTCATGTTTGCTGAACTAACCAAATTAGAAATAAATTGGAAGCCATTAGAGCTTGTTAAAGACTTGGAATAAATTTATCTATGACGTCATAGGATCCTTCTCTTCCAATTCTTGGCGGCCATTTTGCCGAAGTGAGAAGAAAATATTCAAGTCTACCGAACAAAGTTCATTTTTCAGTTTATCAAAAATTCTTACATTTGATTTTATTGCTTTGATATAGATAATCATAGTTTAAAAATTCACACAAAATGGTTGAGGATCGGACGACAGCCAAAGAACTAGATCAGTGGATTGAGCAGTTGAACGAATGTAAGCAGTTGTCAGAAAATCAAGTGAAGATTCTTTGTGAAAAGGTATGAGCAAGCAACTATAGATGTTGTAGACTCCTTTTCCCTATGCTTTTATAGTAGAAATTTTCTGTTAAGTAATTGCAATGCATGAAAGTCTCTGGATTTGCATTGTATTTTGTTTAGGAAGTATCAATTTGCACCAGGCTTGCCACTGGCCTAACTGCACTTAGCAAAGTAAAAGTTGTTTGAATATTTTCCACATTATTATAAGAATTGGAATAGGCCTAGTGGTCTTAAAATAGTACTCTTATTCTTAGAATGTATTTGCGTTGATATCAAATATAAACATTAGCACACATTAATTTGTCAAAATTTGTTTTTGCTTACAGAAAAGGAAAAGTTTCAGCAAAAATTAGGGACTCTTTTGGTTGAAATTCCTAGTCCTCTGAGAAATGTTTCATTTCCACGTAAACTTACAAATAATAATCTTAAAGGCAAAGATATTTTAAGACTAACAGTACTATTTTGATTCTGATTTTCCAATTTTCTTGAAATTAAAGAAAATTTTTTTGCCTTGCTCAGACATTAGGCCTACAGCCAGAGTCAGGGAGAGAGGATCCCTTTGCCCCCTAGTCCAAATTTTCATATATTGTAGCTGTTCATTTCCATTGGTGATTGGGTGGAAGGAATCTATGTTAATTGTATAAGCTAAAGTCAAAATTGAATGATGCTAGCATATTCATTCATTGCATTATAATTTACAATTACTGGTACCGGTATGTGATTAAAATGGTATTAACGATATATAATGAAATCAACTGCTTCTAGACCATACTGTTACTTATATTGATTTTCATGAAAACTTGACTATCACAAAATTGATTAAAGATTGACAGTTTCTTAACTTGCTAATGAAAGGAGAAAACTACTTGTAATTATAATATCAATTTGTAGTGTTATGAAGGTACTCTAATAAACTTTTGCTCTGTGCATTTTAATTAACTGTAACTTGTATAATATCACTAAATCAAGGTAAAGATGTTGATTACAATTTATTTTTTTGTTCTCTTCTAGGCCAAAGATATTTTGTCAAAAGAATCAAATGTTCAAGAAGTAAAATGTCCAGTAACAGTGTGTGGAGATGTTCATGGACAGTTCCATGATTTAATGGAACTGTTCAGAATTGGAGGAAAATCTCCTGATACTAATTATTTATTTATGGGTGATTATGTTGATAGAGGTTATTATTCAGTAGAAACAGTTTCCCTTCTAGTCGCTTTAAAGGTAGGTCTTATGGTTAACTACTATCTTAGTCTTCCAGGATGAGTGACGCCTGATGATGATCTGTGTACTAATGCAAGAGATCAAAATAGAGGCTATACAGTAAGGTAGACTTTCTGATAACCTTGGTCTTTTTCTGCTTATACCTTTTTTCATCAAGATGCATGTAAAATTGATAAAGAAAACAAATTGACAGTTATACTGGCAGATTGTCTCTTATACACTGCTCTAAAGAGTGTTAATTTTTTAAGATTATTAATAGACGGTATGTGGTAACAACATGTAATAATATTATTGTTTAAGTTTCCCAGTGGGGTGTGCTTGCTCAGTTATGTTTTGATTATGTTTACAGGTACGGTACAAGGACAGAATCACAATTTTAAGAGGTAACCATGAAAGTAGACAGATTACTCAAGTATATGGTTTTTATGACGAATGTTTACGGAAATATGGTAATGCCAACGTGTGGAAATATTTTACAGATTTATTTGATTATTTACCTTTAACAGCCCTTGTTGATCAACAGGTTAGATTTATCTTTCTCTTTCACCTCACATTTATGATATGTTTAATACATGTTGCTGTCAAATTTGCATATATTATCAGACAGAAATGATTTTAAACATTAGTTATTAGTGTTATTATTTTGTTAACGTTGTGATTACTTTCTGTTACAGATATTTTGTTTACATGGTGGTTTATCACCCTCTATAGATACCCTTGATCATATACGAGCTTTAGATAGATTACAAGAAGTTCCGCATGAGGTGAGTGTTTGTCACATAAAAATGGCCTAAATAGGTAAAAGTATATGGCACATATAGAACAATCTCCAATCGAATATTAGATTAGAGAAATGTTTTGTGTTAGGTTGTGATTATATTTTTGATGTATTTGATCTAGTTTCTGTTTATAAGATCTTTCAAAATAGATGTCTCAATATAACCCTTTGTTTATATAGTCATACTGCTCATGAATTCTTAAAGAGTGTTCAAGGATGTTTTATTAGTCTTAGTTATCCAATTCTGTCCTATTATTTATTACAGGGTCCAATGTGTGATTTATTATGGTCTGACCCTGATGATAGAGGAGGATGGGGCATTTCACCAAGAGGTGCAGGATACACTTTTGGTCAAGATATATCAGAAACCTTTAATCATAGTAATGGCTTAACATTAGTGTCCAGGGCTCATCAGTTGGTAATGGAGGTAGGTCACTTTTATAACCATAATTGAACTGACATGTTTTAAATTGCCTGCATTAAACTATTTTCTGCTCTCTTTTAAGTGAATTGCTATAGTCTTCCTTCTGTGGGCAATAGTATTCAGATGGGACAGTTAACAAAGACCACACATGCTGCAGACTGTACACAACAGTGTACAGATGTTTTGTCATGTTTGTTCTAATTGCACACTACATGGCATTGCTCCTCTTCATTAGCCCAATCCAATGTTTAAGTAGGACATAAAACTCATAATATGTATCATTATAGAGTTATTGGAAACAGTTCCAAGCTGTCTATTTTGTTTACTCTGAGATCAAATCTATGAATGATTCTGTCTTTATTTCAGGGTTATAATTGGTGTCATGATAGAAATGTTGTAACTATATTTAGTGCTCCCAATTATTGTTATAGATGTGGCAATCAGGCCGCTATAATGGAGTTAGATGATGCTCTCAAATATTCTTTGTAAGTTTTGAATTATTTGATAAACTTTTAGTACCTAGCCTTGAGGCTGTTTGTTGGCCCATTTCTAAGGTCAAAAACATTTAGCTTCTTGGTTCATGAGTAGTACTTTGTAATGGCATTGTGCTTTGTAATGGAATTTCATGTGCTTTTGGATAGTCTTAATAATCCTCAAGTTAATGTGATCCCCATGTATTAGTTGCAGGAATCTACTTTCTTTTGAAGAATCTTGGATGACATATAGCCCAATTTTATAATTAGTAGATATAGAGTATTGAAAATAGTGGAAATAATATTGTTTTATTTGTATTTTCAGCTTACAGTTTGATCCTGCACCACGTCGTGGTGAACCACATGTAACAAGACGAACACCAGATTATTTCTTGTGAAAAACAGGAGCAATAAATTTAAATATAGTAGTGAATTATTATTGTGTTTTGTTGGGCAAAACTATTCATTTAGACCTGGTGATTTTCATTTTTACTAACTACATGACATTGTACATTGGCCGAACAAATCACATTCAAATTTAGTACAGATATTTTACATGGAAATAGCAATATCGTAATGACATTTAGAAATTTGCCCATACTTTCAAGCATCAGTGGTGCCAAGTATTATCTTCAATCTTCGATCTTTATAAGAATTCTTACCTTTGTACTTAGACAAATCAAACTTTTTTTTATGTTCTTGACAACAATAACGCAAGTCTCATATTGTCATTGTAAACGTTGATTGTTTTTATTCGAATTGTTGGGTAAATTAATATGAAATAATCACATTATAATCAAGTTGTGCAACATTTTAGACATTACATAATTTTATGTCGATCCATTTGAGATATCTAGATTCAAAAGTTCTTAAAAGTATATAATCAAATTTGTCAAGATTATGCAGGCTAGCTTGCTATTTAAAGGGCATTTGATTCTCTCAATGTGGTTAAATATTTAAGTTTATTTTTAACAGTTCATGTAATGTTAATAGAATTATACTTTACAGCAGGAATGCAGAAATATTGGATTTTTGTAGGTTTTGCTTGTACATTTTGCAACAATTTTTTCAATTTAAAGGGAATATCAAGTAGAATTTTACTAAATCTGCATATTTATATTTTTGAATTATAAGTTAGATTTCTGCATACCTGAAACAGTATTGTATATAATATAAATAAATATCACAATATATTGAGAAAAGCTGTGTTAAAAGCTTCATTTGTTGTCAGGTGTTGTTTCTGTCTTTTTTCTTTAACAAAATGAATGTCCAAGGAGAAGTCATGAAGTATTCTGTATAGTTTATTAGCTTCTACCCATTTCCCAACTTTTATTTCAATAGCTGGATACAATTATTGTTGATATTATCCACATGTAAAATAAATTATTAAATGTATTTGGTTTATATCTATGGTAACTAAGAGACAAGTTTCCTTTAATTTTCAACATGCTTGGGATTAAGATATATTATGAGAAACAATGTCCAGGTACTAATTTTTGGCAATGAAGGAAATGTGTTCTCATTGGATTATTTTGGGATTTTAAAACTAGAGTAATCTCTAAAGGTGTGGGGATGTGGCTGATTTTTGTCGCCGTCTAGTTTTGTCTTGAGTTGCAGGCACACTAGAGGAAAAGAAATCCTGTTTGGATCCTGCAATTGAGAGAAAAAGGAATCTGATTGAATGTCTTGAAGACTATAAAACAATAGGCGACAAATATCATACTTGTTTGATATTAAAATTCCTGTCGACAATGCAACCAGTCGCAGAAACAAGGGCACACATGAGAGTTTACTATATATTCGAGACTGCAACAAAAATCAGCGTCCAAGACTGTTAGTGTACCCACATCCTTATGGTGTATAACTAGAATTGTCTTGATCTTTATTCATATTCTATATTAATTTGTGAGTCCCATTGAAGTCTTGAAGCTAAATCATCCAATATTTATTCAGTTGAGACAACACAACTCAAGAGTGTTGGGAATCCTAATTCTGAAAAGAGTTGCATGATCAAGATCATCTTACAGTGGCAATGCATACATTTAGTTCTTGAAAATGGTTACCTCTGACCTCAGCTCAAGCACAAACTCATTGTTAATTTTACCCAAATAATGAAATCTTATCAACACCAATATGCAACCAAGGCTGAAGTGGGTTCAGAGTAATAAGAATGAGGTCAACAATGTCTGTTCTTTACAATTCAAGTAATTGGGTTAATTTGTAAACACTCTTCTTAATGTTTTTAGAGCATAGTATGTGTACAGTAGCCACCATTTACACGGGATAAAGGGGCCCAATGGGTATGTGATGCAGGTTGGTGCCAAGGAAAAAGTGTCTTTTTTGATGATAAGTCAATAAACTGTGACCTACAGGCTGTTCATGTCTTCATTAACCCAATTAGGTGCAGAAGAGTAGATTGTAAAACTCAATTCAATTCATTTTAAATGAGAAGTAAATACAGATATGTCAAGAAAATCTATAAGATATTTAAAAAAAAAAAAGCTAAAGAAAAACTGGTTTAAAAATAACAAATAAATGAACTACATGCTGCAATAAAACTTTTTATTCCTCAGGAATTAGTAACAATTAAAAATTACAAATCATCTTTATCAGTCACATGTCAAGTTAGAAACAATTAGTCATAGGTTATAAACAATAGTAATACACACAACTTATCACTTTTCAATCCCCTTAAAACTGATAAAAACTACGTCATTTCCATTTCCTATAGAGTAGACTTGAATAAAGCAACAATCTCTGCAAAGTTAACAACATCAATAACACTTCTGTTCTCTTCTTCTGTTCTAGATTCATAACCACAAAACAGACGTAAAATCTCAGCCTATCTGTAGCCTTCGGTGAGCATTTCTGTTATATAAAACATATTTGGCAAAGAGGTCATCACAGCTTAAGTTTATGTGTACAAATATTACAATATTTACATATTGTGGTACAAAATTACACTAATCTATAATTATACAAATGATGCCAATAGATATCAAAATTACAACAAATACCTTTTGTTTTATTGAGATTTTGATATAGTCAAGCAAAGATATTTGTGGACATTCTGTTAGAATTCAAAACTAATAGTCCATTTTAAAGGGACAGATGCACTATTTTCAATCTTGGTCTTGAATATATTTAATTAGTCTTCAGAAATAATAGAAATGTATGAAAATTGTATGATTCCTTTACAAAATACTTCATACTAGGAGTTTTACTTACCATTTCTATAGATGTCTTTTCTATGTATGACATAGTAAGTTAAAGGGAATTTTTTAATACTGTTTCTTAATGAAGGTGGTCTCTTAGATGAGTATTGGGTCCGAATAAGAACCTTGAAATGTTTCAGTCTTAGAAAAAACTTCCATGTTAATTTTTCTGGTTAAGCGGCTATTCTCAAACATAACAAACAATAAGTCTAATGAGAAACTATTTACTTTTTTTTCACCTTTATAGTGTCTGTCTATATACAACAAAATATTTTGTCTTTTTAAGAACCCTAGAGAGTGCCAAACTAAAGCATCATATAAAATGTCTTATTGTCACTTTATAAATAGTTTCTTTGAAATTATTAAAGTAAAAGAATAATATATAAATAATTGATTATCATTAAGATTTGTTTTATCTTGTGAAATTTTGTCTGCAAAAATCTTCTTTAAGGGATTTTTTAAAGAGGTTATCTATAAGTGCATCAGCGGCACTGATTCGCACCATTGAAATTTTTAGTACTTCAATATCCCCAATACACCTAAAATGTTTAGAAAACCTTTTTACAATCCCTTTATGCATCGTATTCTATCAAAAATTCAACTTATATATTCAAACAATCATATAAGAAACTGACAAAAAAAAATAGATCACATCCTGTCAAATGGAAGCTAGAATCATTGAGCTATCCAAGGGTGCATCTCAGTTGAGAAAGGAGAGGGTTCAAATATTTTTCTATTTTATCAGGCCAATACAGTTGCAGATTGCAAAAGATAAATTTCTTTGGATTCTTGGATTAAACATCAACCCTGCATCATGATGTAAACCAAAATATAAATTTTACTACTGTTAATGTTGAGAAAGAGATACTGAAAACTCATACAAATCTCAAAACTTCACATCATCTTAAATTTTGGCAATTCTTAATGATTGAAACACAAATCTCACTTCAAATATTCTTAGAAAGCATATCAGACTAACTGCTACAAAAGTAAAGCTTATTCTATTGATCAAATGGATAGTTAGACAACCATGAAGTTCAGGTATAATTATAAAAGTATTGCATTATGGAAAATTATTTAGAACAAATGAAATTAGTGAAATGATTCAGGATAACAAATTTTCGTTTTTCTCAATATCTGTTTAAGGAACATAAGGTGGTGGTTTCTGAAATATACAAAATAAATACATAATTGACTATTCAAAATACTTTGTTTTTTGGGGCTTCTTCTGGCTGATAATTACAATCCAGTGAAATGTACAATCAGAGACTTTGCTAGAACAGGCATGCCATGTTTTATTTATAATGGTACATGTATATATCATAAGCACTGTCTGACTTATACATAGGACTTTCTCAATATACATAAGAATCATAGGATAAATAAAATTGGAAAAAACTGTACAAAAGGTATAAATTAGGTATACATTATACATCTAAATGACACTACATGTAACATATAACTCACATATCCACCATAAAAGATTCAAGTAAGTGCTTAATTTCAGCAATTCCCTGACCACTTTTTACAAGTCTGACTGTTGATATCTACATAATAATGTGGATGTACAAGGCTTTCCTACCTCTTGAGCAGCATGATAATTAGGAGGCTGAGCCACTGATGTTGGTCCAATTTGATTTTCTGTTGCTGGGTAAGTTGGAGGAGCTGATACTACTACTGTACCATAAGATGGAGGGTAAGCATCTCTAACAGCCAAATACTGCATTCTTCTATATCGTCTTCTTCTATAACACCAACAACTACAACTTATTACAGTCAGGAATATACCTAACCATAGCAGCCAAAACCCTGTCAATTGAAGTATAATTCATGCACTAACATAAACCCTGAGTTAGACATTTAATGAAATATCACAGATCTAGTTACATATTACTCAATGGAGTTTTACCAATATTATTGATTAGAGTTCAAGGGTCAAAACTGACAGGAAAAAGAGAGAATGAATGAAAATTTAAAATGAATACTTACACCAAAACTGATATACTGAATAATTACAACATTGGTCTGCAAATGCACCACAGCAATATGCTGACCAATCTAAAATATAACCATAATCAATCATTTTTAAAGAAAAAAATATCCTGATTTCTAAAGGACTTGTGAGATCAGACATGCTATTTTACTGGGCAAACATACATGAGGAAAGCAGGCACCTGATCACTCATTCTGCAGAAAACAGCCTTAGTCATATTGATCAATGAAAAGTAGTTATTATGGATTCAATTCATGTCTGTCTTAAGATTTTTACCTTCTGAACTGTAGTTGAATTGTAGTTTGTGATTTGGTTTTGAAAAACATTGGATAGGTATCATGTTTGTGTATTTATTATTTTATGTCATGAAAATCAGTTGTATAACAATACATAACTAAGCATTATTTCAACACAGTAAACTATTGGAAGTTGATCAGTGAGATAGGACCTTGAATGCTGATGTCATTTCTTCTCAGTGTAACTTTTCAATTAAATAGAAATATAAGCTTATAACTTACCATAGCATATAAAATTACCACATTCTATGTAAGCCTGAAATATTAATCAATAACATGTATCAAAAAGTCTAAAAAAATTTATTTCACCTACAATTTTTCAGAGAGATGAAAATATTTTCAGTTAAGGAGTTTAGTCTCCCTCAAATCACACAAATTTCTGAATAGAAAATACAGGAAGAAATGAGTTGCGTTTCAATTTCAATTTTGTTCTTTTAAAGGGGCCGAATATCACATAGTTATTCATACCTTGGTCTCAAAAGTGAATTGTACCGCTTAGCTAATCAGTAATAAGAATCATATCATTATTTTTTTGAAAATGACCCAATAGGCCTAGTTTATATAGCCCCCATAGGTCTATTTGGACTGTCCATAATTTCCTCTCTGTAAAATCATGCTTCCATCAAGCCAAATACAATCTCAGGCTGTCAGTAGTACTTTGGAGTTGATAATTCAATTCATACAAAAGTAATCAAGTGCGATTATGTTAACATACATTGATTGTACTTGTAGACAAACACAGTGAGGAGACGGTATAATATCAGACGTCATGTGAAAAGAACATTTCAGATCTGCCCCAATGTAAGCCTACAAAGATCAAGTATCATCTCATGTCATTACCTCAATAGGATAGACTGTCACAGAAAAAATGAAAACAACCAGGGAATTGATCTGTTTCTCCATTCTTCTTTATCAGCAACAGGAACTACCTTTTTGTAAAAAGAGGTGATTGTCACATGATCAAAACAGAATAGAGGTACGATAGGAGGTGTTACTTCCGAGATGTTTCGCACTAGTGACTCACTTACTACGGAAATTCTTTTATTGAATTTCAAACCAAACAAAAAGTGTAATCATAACAAAATCTATATGCAAATAATTTTGTTACAACCTTTATCAGATCAGTCGAATAATAATCAGAGACTAAACGTCTCACAAAACTACCTGTACAAATCATAGTGGTGCGAATCAACCCAGTTCAGTGCTGCCGTCGTGATTATCCAGACATCTTAGAAAATTCGGTCAAATTCAGGGGAGGCTATTTATAAACAAACTGGTTACTTCCCCTTAAGATTTTGACAGATCAAAATATTCATGACGTAGAAGGTATTTTATAGTCAGTAGCTTGCAGAAGGTTTATTGATACAGTTGGCAGGGTAAGTATACGTGGAAATATATTATGTGATTAACATTAATTTCGTATAATATTCATCCAAGTTAATGGAAATAATTGTAGGCTTAGGTGTAGGACAAAATAAATATTGTATTTATGAAAATTTTCCGTTTGTGTGTCAATAAAATAAAAGTAGATTGAACGTAAACAAATGCGATCAGCTGTTTGTCATACCTAATTTTGACAGATTTTACTTATGCATCTTTAAGAAGGTAGTGTGCTTGAATTCTTGGGCTAATTTCTGCATCAAAAAAATAGTCAATGCAAAAATGTTTTTCAAGCCTTAATTGACCATAAATATAATCATCGAATCTCTTTGGCTTTGTTAAGCTCTCTGTGGACATAATTAGCCTGGTGCGTCTTATACACCCCTCCCTCCTCAACTTTTGCTTTCATTGGTAATATATATATCAATGATCCAAGTATCTTAATTGTGAAGTTAGCTATATTATTATGTGAGATAGAGTGATAGTGGTTGATCAGGCCTATAGCCTATAGAAATAAAAATAGCCATAGTAGTAGATCTACTAGCCTACTATAGAGTTATTAATAGATCTAATGACAACATCGTTTACTTATACTATATACTATATAGTTCTAAGTGATGTTTTGGGTTCGACCTAAGGTCAACCAGTTGATTATAATCATATTCAAGCTAATGAAATATTGATTATTTTTATATTCAGCTGTAGACTAAATCTATATAACATGTCAATACAATATGTTTTGATTAATGTTAGATTATTGTGAATATTATGGTAATATAAGAAATAGGGTATTGCCGTTTGAAAAACGAGGTCTTTTATGTTACTTATCGAGCCTGAAGACATTTATACACCTCGAAGGTCGCATTTAGGTACATACTGATAGCAGAGAAAAAAAGTCAGATAATGTTAATCTTATGTATTAATTTACCCTGTATGATTACACAAGAGGCCATATTCGTTCCATATTATGAGCCAAAGTAGGACGTAAAACTTCATTCATTTCATTTCATTCCATATTATGAGCCATTTTGATATTGCGATTTATTTTATTAAAAGCGTAAAGTGTATTTGTTTGTTTGCACTGTATAAAGATAGGAATTTTTTTTAAATCATTTTATGATTATACTGGAATTCTGGTGCCTAATAACATTCATCTCTGAATATCAAGATTAGTATTAGAGAAAAGCTAACCAGGATCGTCTGCATCAAAATACTTCCCAAGAAAAGGTTTCGTTTGATTAAAACCATGATACCTAAAAACATGACAAAATTTCCTTACTAATCTGCCGAGAAGGGGCATTTTAAAGGGATTGTAAAGTGGTTTTCTGTTTACAACGCCTTTAACAACCAATTCTGAAATCACACGAAGGCAGGCTTTAAATTTTAGAAGTTTTTTTTTGCCATAATTTATAAAAGATATGTTTGCATAATTCGTCTTCATGACAACCTTGATATCTCAAGATGTTGAAAGTTTTTTTCTTTGATTTATAGTTTTATTGGTTATTAATTGTTTCAGGAAATGCATTTATAAGATGTTTTCTTTCAACGTCCAATATCACCATCAGTGTTTGACTGGTGGACTCACAGACTTATGGAACAATGCTAAACATACAGATGTCAGAATATATGTTGAAGATAGGCTTTTTGCATGTCATCGTGTTGTGTTGGCATCAATGTCAGCTTATTTTGATGCTATGTTTACTTCTGACATGAAGGAGACCAGAGAAGGAGTTGTTTACCTAAAGAACATGAAAGCTCACGTTTTTGATATGATCTTGAAGTACATTTATAAAGGAGAGACGAGTGAAATGTTCCCGGAATTTGCTGTGGATGTTCTGTATGCCTCAAGTCTGTTACAGATTGTATCGTTACAGGAACTTTGTGAGAAATACTTCTCTGATAATTTGACGTTAAACAGTTGTCTAGAGATCTGGAGATTGAGCTGTACCATGCATTGTATCAATCTGAAGGACAACGCCTGGACGTTTTTCATGGATAATTTCGTTGAAGTCAGCCACACTGACGAGTTTTTAGAGATGAGTAAGGACGAGTTGCTATTAGCAATAAATGATGATAATATGAATGTTGAAAACGAGGAACTGGTTTGTGATGCCGTGTTACGATGGTTTGAGCACGACAGGAAACGAGTTTATTATCTTTTGGAAATATTTCACAATTTACGATTAGCTCTGATGTCTTATGCTTATATTGATTGCATTACCCGAAGAAAAGCATATATTGCCGACAATTCCGAATGTAGTGAGTTATTGGAACAAATGAAACACGTGTCTGCCAGAGCAGAAATTGTGTATGGGCAACCACACATCTTCAGAGAACGTAATGAACACGTACTCGTTATGGTCGATGGTAGGAGACAGGAAGTAGCATGCTATAGTATTTCTCGTAAGAAATGTTTCTCTCTAGCCAAATTCCCATATTTCGCAGATGGTAAAGCAGCTTGTACGTTATCAAATGATATTTATGTTTCTGGCGGAACTTCAAGCTTTGGTTCGGCAGAAACGCGGTTTGTTAGATTTGAGACTAAACGTAACAGATGGGAATATTGTCTTGCCATGAGGGAACCAAGATGTTACCATGAACTGGTGACTGTTGGTCATTATATTTATACTATTGGTGGCTTTGCACCAGAAGACGCTGTGAGTAATGTGGAAAGATATGATACAATTCAAAAAGAGTGGACACGAATAGGGAACCTAGCCATCCCAGTTGGTGGTATGTCGGCTACTGCATTAAATGGAATCATCTTTGTATTTGGAGGAAAGAAACATCGAAGTGAAAGGAAAAATCCATATTTTCAATGTTTCGATACTAGAACAGGTGTTTCTACGATCCTTGGAAACCTTCCTATTGCAACATGCTGGAGTAAATCGGTGACTTTGGATAATATTATCTATGTGTTTTGCGCTGATGGTAACGTCATGGCGTCAACCCTCCAATCCTTCCCAGCTATAGTCAGTGTGATTAAAAACTTTGATTGTAAGAATTTCAGTGTTGTGAATTATAGAGGTGATTTATTGATTATGCAGGCAGGAGAAAATAAACATCATGATATATTAAGAGCGTATGATCCATGTACAGGCAGTGTATCATTAGCTAGAGAAAGACTGCCAAGATCTTTATGTGATTCAGATTGGCTAAAAGTCAATATCAATAGATGTCATTTAAAATATGAATGTTCGCATGCTATCCATCGCTAAGGGTCAAGGGTCAAGTAAGAATATAATTCTATTCATGTGGTTTTAATGTCATGAGTATACCCATCCATATACGCCTATATCATAAGATAGATACCGACCCCGCGTAGTTTGCTTGAGTAATTGATGAAGTTGCGGTGCTTCATACGAATGCATTTCTGAATACACGTGGTTTGCAAGATATTAAAAGCTTTTTTCATTGTATATCGTCGATCTTGGAGATTTCAATGGAATATTTTATAATATAAACCTATGTGTAAAAGGCCAATCTAGAAAGTGTTACTTATGTCGACTCTATAGTAGCATTTCCTAATCCTATGCTTATGATGTTTTTGCGCACAACTCTGAGGGTATTCATGGGCATATCCGACTTTGTATTTCCCGATTTTAAATTGTAAGCTTCTTTGTTATGGCAACAGCAGCATTCAAGTAAAAATAATGCGGAAAAATAGGACCTTTGATCATTTTTGAACAGCGACTTTGGCCGATGTTTTTGATTTTTCAATTTGCATAGAGCATGATTTAAAGAATAATCACGTTAGATCATGGATGGCATGTGTATAGTCATCTGCAGGAAAAAGAAATGGCAAAATATCCAGATCTACATCATTATCAAGTTGTCCTTTCTTTAAATTATAACAATATTTCGAAATTTTCGTTAATTACATATCTGTTTATTGCTTTATATGGAAATCTAAATGGATTTGTTTTTGAATAAAATTATCTGTTTGTATTTCATTAATTTAAATATTATTTTATAAAATAAGGGTCTCATCTAGAGCTACGTATGCAAATGGATCTACCTTGCTTGTTTAGCTTGTGACAATTATTATGGCCAATCAGACATAGGACATATTTTTAGTTAAGTCTTTAAATTAGGACGAAATTGATAAGCTGGTTTCTTCACCCAGATTTTCTGCCAACATTTTACATCAATCACTGTGAAAACATTTTAATAATTGTGGTATATATAGTCCAGAATTATAGAAATTCTATCATAGTTTTATTGCCATTTTGTGGGTTTGGGATACATTTATATCTCCTAATAGGGTTATTGTGTTAGCGTATGGCGATGTCATTTTTCCCCTGGATTACAGAAAATACAGTAAATCGTTTCACTTACACGAAGGGGAAAAAACTCTTTTTGACAATGATGGAATGACCTCTTATTCGGTTCGAGATAAAGATTTACATGGCCACCATGTTATCAATTGAATCCCACAGATAGGCATCAGATATATAATATAGAATCACTTGACATTTTTGGGTTTATATAAGATCATCATAATTAGGTGGACGGAAGCTTAAAAACGATCTTAAAACTTCCGGAATATCCAACAAGTTGAGGGCAACTCGAAAATATGGAAATGGTCTCAAAGATTTTAGGATCTTTATCCTTGTAAGGCATCGTAGCGAAAGTGGACTTTCAACTGTATCTTTCAGCCATTCGTAATATGGTTGGGAATCTTTCGTCTTTTCAAGAAGCCTGTAACATTCACCAATATCTACTACTCCAGATGTATACAATAGATCTGCTATCTCATCACATCCCAAATCTAGACATATATGTAAGATGCCCTGATAAAAAGTCATGGTTTCAATAGTAATAATCTTTTTGTGGTCCTGATTTCCTCCATATAGTATAAGACTTTTCACATTCTCTATATCCTGGCTCTTAACTGCTAGATTAATTGGTATTCGACCGTTAATTCTTTCATTAGGATCAACACCTTTCTCTAAAAGAAGTTCTGTAACTTCCCGTTGCCTGTTGGTAAGAGCAACCCCGAGTGCTGTTTCGTAATTCGGACTATGGAAATTGATAGGGAAGTTCATATCTAGCAGTATGAGGATTGTTTGTGTATCTCCGTGTTTGGCTGCTCTAGACATTAAATTCCATTGCTGTTGTGTTGTAGTGTAATGCTTTTTCGATTTTTGAATCATTTCTTTTATGATTTCTTCACGAATTGAACTCGTTGACTCATTAAGGCCACATTTGTGAACATTGCGGATCATACATTCCAATGGGGTGTCGCCATCATAAAAATTGTTGGTTTTTCCAGTAGTACTAGCTCCAGCTGACAACAGAGATTTTATTATTTCATAATGCTGATTCGTCGCTGCTTTGTGGAGCGCTGTTTCGTAATAAATGTTAGTATGGTTCAGTTTGCATTTGTTTTTAGACATAAGCATTGCATTTACGATAGTTGTCAGGCCCAAATTTGATGCTACAATAAGAGGGGTGTTTTTAGCCTCGTCCTTGGACTTTGTACTTGCACCTTGTGAAATTAGAAATAGAATACACTCCTCATAGTCTTTGATTATTAAGCTCCTCTTGCTGTAAGAATATTCCAGTGGAAAACTTATATTTGGAATGTCATTTTTTATATCCAGTGTAATGTTTAGAACTCCGCCTGTCGGTTTAGATGCACCGAAATCTGTGTCATTTTCCTTTACAGACAATGAACAATAATCATTTAATCGTTCATTTGTTTGACCAGATTCTGTATTCAAATCTTCCAGAAAGCTTATGCACCTTTTGTAGCATTGTAACCCAATCAGTAATGGTGGTCTGTCGCCCGATTTCCTCACTATATCAACATCAACTTGATCATTCAATACAATTTCTCGTACCAAGTCATTGCGACCCAGTGAAACAGCAATATGCAATAGATTTTCCTCGTCACGTTTATTGTACAGATTAAAATAATTGATCAGGTCTGTTTTTACAGGACTGTCGGTTGTTGCTATCTGTTGTGTCCTGAAATAAACACACAGTAAACATCATTAATTTATAGCAGTGGAAGACTCGAAAAACACAATACTAAATAGGCGTGAGGGTGTGTCTGTGTAGGGGGTCATTAAAATTAGGGAGGTTGATGAAAGTTTAAGCGACCTTACCATTTGTGCGAGATTATATCTAACAATTAGTACTGTATTGTGTCACTGAAATACCATAAATTCTTTCCAACCGCTTCCCGAAAACATATTTATAACACTCAGTGACCCTCCCACCTAAACTGCCCACCAATTCACTCATGTAATCTCATCATCAGTGAGGAGCTCCAAGAGGCTGAACTCAGAAGTAACCAGGATCAATTATCGCCCACGGTGTAAATTTGATTGAGTTTGAACAGGGAATGTTTGAATAGTCTATGCATAGGTGTTCGGCCGATATTCGAGCCAAATATTTGACTTACAAGCCTTACCAGGCGTTCTACGAGGGGACAAGGGGCTGTGAAATGTGGCCCGCCCCTTGTCCCCACCCCCCCCCCCCCCCCCCC